GACCCAAATGACAGAAACTCAATTCAAACTGAATTAAACTAAATAAATAAATAAAGATGGAAAGGAAAGTATTTATAACAAAAAGCCCAGGACTAGTTATCTTCAGATGTTTCCGATTACCTAGTTGGATGAAGGTACTCAAATGATATTATTAGCAGTTGCCCCTCTACTTCTACAGCTCTGTTTTCCTCTGGTTTGTCCCCGTTTTGAAGTCATTTTTTCCCCTTGCAATAGCACCTTCCGAAAACTTATCAGTCTGAAGGAAATAACTTTTTAAAAAAATCAATGCTTTAATCAGAAGTCCCAGAATCAAGTACCATTAACCTGAGATGGATCTCACTGCAATTAGAGGAATGAAATGTTTTGATGAAAGAACCTTAGGCATGTAGCAACCCATAGATCCAAGTGGAAAGAGTAACCCCATCTAAACCACATGGTCAGAGAATGGAAGAATGGTGATTCCTCAAATGAAAATCAGAGATTTGTTCCCAAAAGAGAAGTGGCTAGATTCTGTACAGGCAAACACAACTAATGTACTTTACAAAAAAGATAAAGAAGAAAAGAGCAGGATATGCTTAGGATTAGTGAGTAGGCACAGTGATGTGGAACATCCATTAATAATCTTCATAATTATTTGATGTTCCTGAAAGAGAAATTTGGGTAAAAAAGAAAAAATAGAAGAAAAACAGACAGTATTATGAAATCATACTAGTTAAACCAACGATCACCTCATACTCCTAACTATCTTCTAAGGCACACGAAGTACTCCTTGAACCACAGAATGGAAATTTAAGACTCCAATTTCAATTCAGTGCAGAGGTAGAGCAGTTATTAACAGAATGAAAGTTTTCCCAATTCTTAATTCCAAGGAGCTTACAGGGACCGCTGTTAATGTTGGGGAAGAAGAAAAATGGGAATAAGTTGTTGGTTTTATAAGATTACATTTTTCCTAAAGGAGAAGTCTATTCACCTGTCCCCCATTATGTTTTTCTTGAAATTCCCTGACTTACAAATTGTTGAATGAGAAGCTAATCAAAGAGCTTTGAGTCTTTCTAAGAAAAGTCTCTAAATATAACAAAATCCATGTTAAAAATATTAACACTTAGAAATGCAGTTATTTAGGTATTTACACCACAAGAAAATGAAAAATAATTTTTCGGTCATATTTAACAGATTAAGCTCCTTGATTTTAAAATAATCAACAACCCTTTTGTGACTGGCATTTTATCAAATTAAAATATATTCTACTTTACACACCCACTATTGTATTATACTCTGAACATCAGAACATAAATAATGTAAATACACCAAATGTTGACTTCAGAGATGTCTATAGGCAGAAAAAGGTTTTCCTGAAAAAAAAGATCCACAACCAAAAATCCATGTTTCAAAATCTTATATAAAACTACCTTAGCCTTCTGCCAAGAATTCCAGTAGAAACTTAAGTTTCTGTTTTGTTTTATTTGGAGTTTTATTGTTTGTTTTGTTTTGTTTTATTTTTTTGTTTGCAGTATATCTTAAAATAAGGGATAGCTGAACAAACATCTAAAGGTTTATTTTCTGTAAACTTTTCATGTATAACCTTTGTGAATCATATACTCTGCTAAACTTTTGGGCCTGTAGGTTTCAGCATAAAAACTAATTCCACTGAAGGTGGCCTCAGAAGAGCAATTTTATTCACTGAGGTTAAAAAATGGATATTTGGCTGGGTAGAGTGGCTCATGCCTGTTAGTTGAGCACTTTGGGAGACAGAGGCAGGAGCATCACCTGAGGTCAGGAGTTTGAGACCAGCCTTGCTAACATGACAAAATCCCATCTCTACTAAAAATACAAAAATTAGCCAGGCATAATGGTACAGGCCTGTAATCCCACCTACCAGGGAGGCCGAGGTAGGAGAATCACTTGAACCTGGGAAGCAGAGGTTGCAGCAAGCCAAGATCGTGCCACCCCACTCCAGACTGGGCAACAGAGCAAGGCTGCATCAGCTTTAGGGAATGGCAAGGAGGTCAGAGTTCCAAAGTAAGTAAGTGATTTGGAGTGCACTAGAAGAGAAATTGGCCGTTAGTGGGATGAGAAGCTTCTCCTGTTTTGTACAATTCAAAATAATATTCTTTATCAAGATCCTAGAGACATAATACAGGTACATTTGAGGGTATCATACATACATATTATATATAAACACATATATATGAACAATTGAATATATGAAGAATATATATACATTATATGTGATGAACATACGAATAATTATTATTTTTTTCTTTTTGAGTTCACACCATTCACATGAGAATTTTAGAGGGAAAAATATTTACAGTTCAATTGCTCCAAATGAAGCTAGTATAAGATTCTTTATGATGGCAATTCTAGTTCAAAATGTCAAAATGATGAACTGTTTCCAGCTTTCATCCAGCCTGCTTCCCAAGATGGTCAGTAAATTTTTTTTATTGGATATTTTCTCTAGATACTGTCTGAACTTAGGCTTATATAATCCACCACCACCTCACTCCAAAGTTTTTAGATTTATGCCCATCACATTTTTGGTCTCCCATGGATGATCATACTCCAGCCAACAGTTATTTTGCGTCTCACTCAACTGGACTTTGCTTAGTTTCAAAAGAAACGTAGACCTGAATTGTACCACAGATTATGTTCTTTTCACACTAAAATCATAAAGGCCCTGTGCAGGCAACCAAGGAAAGCACAAGGACAGCAGTGCTTTCATCTCTCTTCAGAAGACAATAGCTCCAGGCCTCTTGTTGCTTAGTTCCTCTCCCCTGAAGTTCCTGGATTGTTTTCCACTCAAAGGCCAAGCTGCTGCTGCTTTAGCTAATATCAAATGCAGGAACACCAAAAAAGAAACCAGAGAATCACAAACTAGCCAACACAGAATTCTCGACATTATTCAATAGATACTGATTCACATGTTACTTATTCCCAGTTTAAAATACAAAAAGTTGTGCAATGGGAAGCACAATACATTAAACCTGAAGCTTTGAAATGTGCACTGATGATAGCAAGACATGGAGTCAACACAGGAAATATAAGTTTAAAGCTATGGCAAGCTCAGAGAATTTCAGGAACCACAGATTTTACTTTGATGTTTCTAGCTATTTCAATCTGACAAGTAGCAGTTGTAGAGGTGAGAAAGCAGAGAAAGTAGTCAGACAACTTGGATGAACATTTCTCAAGAGGGCTTTTCTTTCCTGTGAGGAATTCTTTTCGACTTATTAAATTATCTACATCTTTAGTAGCAATGTGTTTTCCAATGTAAGACCTTACTAAAATGACAAGTAATCTACTGGGAATTAAACCAAAATGCAAACTTAGCTGTTATTTTTAAAACCACATGTCTTTAAATCCCTTGATTGTTAACTTTTATCCCAAAAGAAGAAGACTTAACTTTTACTGACTTTCACTAGCTAATAACTGGACTATTTTAAGTTCTATTTCCCCCTACCTTGACAACTTAATTGACCTGTTAGAAGTATAAGTTACCAGATAAAAATCATAATATGCTCCAAAAGCATTAAATAAATTTCACATAAAAATCGCAATAGTATATATCTAATAAACAAAGTAGAAGAAATAAAAAATAGATAAAAATACTTTAAGAAACCCATATGTAATATCATGATGCTATAATTTGTATTAAGAAACATCTATTCTAAAGCCTTAACACGGTTGTCTATTTCATATAGGTCAAGTATCATGGCCATTCACATAGCAACTTTCTTTAGAATTAAACTTTGGAATTACTTGTTTACACAAGAAAACTCATCTCAGATGTAGCATCTGTTTCTCACTAAGGCTTAGCTTTCACCTAATTCTCCAAATGGGTTGACCGAGGTTCAAGAATGTGAGGTGACTCGATCAAGAACATACAGTGAATCTAGGGCAAACAGCCTCTCTCCCTGGAGTAGTAGATGGATATCTTGGTACAGAACTCCACTGATGCCATTGTCAGGCCTGTAATGCACACTTACATCTACTTGAAAACCATAGTTCATTGAGAGAATCACTTGGTATCTTAATATTTTTAAGTGTAGCAGAAGAAAAGGAAAAGTGTTATGTAATTTGAATATGTTCACCAGATCTCCTTTATTAAATTATATGTCTTAACTTCAGAAGCAGTCTAAACTATTTGATTATATACATTGCATAATACAGCAAGATGTAGGAAAGGGAAAGAGTTTATATGAAGTATATTCAGTGGTTTAAAAATTAGCAGAAACCTGTTTCTGTATAGCTATATTCATTTATTTCATTTGCAATATAGTCTATATTTATATACTATAAAAGGTAATTTGTAAGTACTAATTTTTGCTTGGATAATTTTTTGTCTCTACTAGGTAAGTATGTCACTCTTTGTAAAGAACCTCAAATAATACTTAAGTTCATAATAAATCCAAACAATTATATTTCAAGGAAATTAATTCTACCATAAGTATAGATCTACATATATACAGCTGAAATAAAATGAACACTCTTATAATTAACCACTGTGTGAACATATATGGTTTTCTATCAATAAGCATGTTTATTTTGATGTTTTTTCATTTTAATTATGACATCTTCTTTAGTCAATTGTATGTACTATGCAGAATCACTTTGACGCTTTTCTAATGTACATTGAATAGAATTACTCAGTCTTTTCTTTCAGCATTTTTCAGAGAGTCATATCTTTTGTGTTCTTGTTATAAGAATTGCTTCAAGTGAAGCAACATATCCACAGAGGTTATTCTCAGACTTAAATGTTACTTTTCTACAAAGCTAAAGTTCTACATTCAGGTATTTCTACATGACTATAACTATGATTGACTCAGTGATTCATGATTTGGGTATTGTAGCTAAAATATTCTCTTCCATTCCAATGGATATTGCATAATTCTCTCAGATACTTCCACCAAAGAGTTGCTCAAATTGCCTTCTATTTAATTTTTTTTAAAAAATAAGTGCGTTGGCCCCCCACCCCCGCCCTCGGCCGAGGACGCAGGCGCGCGCACGCTCCCCCGGCCGGGTAGGCGGGGGTGGGGGGAGGAGGAGAAGGCGGGAAGGGGTTGGGTGTCTGCTCCGGTGCTAGACGCTGTGGGGCACGGAAGCGCGAAGGCCTGGCCGCCGGGCAGGCGAACTCTGCACGGGGTCAGGGCCCACGGAGGATTCGGAACTGAGTTGGCGCGCCTCGGGAGGAGTCGCGCCGCCAAGACCCGGAAGTCCTCAGGGCGTGAAGCCCCGGCCGAGGCCCCGCGGAGATGTCCAGCTGTGGCGCTTGTACCTGTGGGGCGGCAGCCGTCCGGCTCATCGCCTCCTCACTCGCCTCTGCCCAGAGAGGTATTTCTGGTGGTCGCATTCATATGTCAGTTTTAGGAAGGCTTGGGACATTTGAAACTCAAATTCTGCGAAGAGCTCCTCTTAGATCCTTTACAGAAACGCCAGCATTCTTTGCCTCAAAAGATGGAATAAGTAAAGATGGTTCTGGAGATGGAAATAAGAAATCAGCAAGTGAGGGAAGTAGTAAGAAATCAGGCTCTGGGAATTCTGGGAAAGGTGGAAACCAGCTGCGCTGTCCTAAATGTGGTGACTTGTGCACACATGTAGAGACCTTTGTGTCATCCACCCGTTTTGTCAAATGTGAAAAATGTCATCATTTTTTTGTTGTACTATCTGAAGCAGACTCAAAGAAAAGTGTAATTAAAGAACCTGAATCAGCAGCAGAAGCTGTAAAGTTGGCATTCCAACAGAAACCACCACCTCCCCCTAAGAAGATTTATAACTACCTCGACAAGTATGTTGTTGGCCAGTCATTTGCTAAGAAAGTGCTTTCAGTTGCTGTGTACAATCATTATAAGAGAATATATAATAATATCCCAGCTAATCTGAGACAGCAAGCAGAGGTTGAGAAGCAAGCAGAGGTTGAGAAGCAGACATCATTAACACCAAAAGAGTTAGAAATAAGAAGACGGGAGGATGAGTACAGATTTACAAAATTGCTTCAGATTGCTGGAATTAGCCCACATGGTAATGCTTTAGGAGCATCAGTGCAGCAACAGGTGAATCAACAAATACCTCAGGAAAGACGAGGAGGTGAAGTATCGGATTATTCTCATGATGACATAAAACTTGAAAAAAGTAATATTTTGCTGCTTGGACCAACTGGGTCAGGTAAAACCCTGCTGGCACAAACCCTAGCTAAATGCCTTGATGTCCCTTTTGCTATCTGTGACTATACAACTTTGACTCAGGCTGGATATGTGGGTGAAGTTATTGAATCTGTGATTGGCAAACTACTCCAAGATGCCAATTATAACGTGGAAAAAGCACAACAAGGAATTGTCTTTCTGGACGAAGTAGATAAGATTGGCAGTGTGCCAGGCATTCATCAATTACACGATGTAGGTGGAGAAGGCGTTCAGCAAGGCTTACTAAAACTACTAGAAGGCACAATAGTCAATGTTCCAGAAAAGAATTCCCGAAAGCTCCGTGGAGAAACAGTACAAGTTGATACAACAAACATCCTGTTTGTTGCATCTGGTGCTTTCAATGGTTTAGACAGAATCATTAGCAGGAGGAAAAATGAAAAGTATCTTGGATTTGGAACATCATCTAATCTGGGGAAAGGCAGAAGGGCTGCAGCTGCTGCAGACCTTGCTAATCGAAGTGGGGAATCAAATACTCACCAAGACATTGAAGAAAAAGATCGGTTATTACGTCATGTGGAAGCCAGAGATCTGATTGAGTTTAGCATGATTCCTGAGTTTGTGGGACGGTTGCCTGTGGTGGTTCCATTGCATAGCCTAGATGAGAAAACACTTGTACAAATACTAACTGAGCCACGAAATGCTGTTATTCCTCAGTACCAGGCCTTATTCAGCATGGATAAGGTTAGATTTTTATTTTTTTGTACTCGTCAATTTTCTTGCTATTGAAATTCTACATAAATTAACCTAACAACAAAAACAAGTTCTGCTCATTTAGAACACCAACTTATTCCTTACTAAATACAGATCTAGGAATCAAGGAAGGCATATTGTATTATGTTAGAATTTAGGAGTTGGCTTTATTTCTACGAATTAAAACCATCATTGTAGCTTAAATCCCAAGAAAAATAATGCCATTAGCCTCCTCCAGCACCTCCAAGCCAAATATACCGGATTGTCTTGTCCTTTCGGCCTTGACATTCTAAATGCTTTTTTGTGACATAGTGTATTTTTGTATTCTTTTGCCTAAGTAAATGTCTCTGTAGCCAAATACCTGGCGGTCACTCTAGCTCACATACCTAATCAGATAAATGGTTTGGGTTTTATGAACTTTGTGTCTCTAAATATCAGTCTCCTTCTCTCCTTTGCCCCTGCCTCAAGTCAACCCCTTTGTTGTTATTCACCTTGACCCACACATTTAGTTCGGAATTGGTCTGCCTGTCTCATGTCTGCCTGTGACTACCACCACCAAAATATCATTATCTTTCTCTTTACTTCCAGAATGGATATTGAGCACAGTGTCCAGCAGATAGATACTAAGTTCTTAAATAGTTATTGAATGAGTAAAGACAAGGCTATTGTTTTTACTCCCTTGCTCAAAATCCTCCAGTGGTTCCCTGGTCTTATTTAGATGCCTCCCCCTTGGCTGCTCCCTGAGCTCCATGTGCATACACTGGACTATAAATGCAAGTTGGCTAATCTGTCATCTGTCACTGCACAATGGACTGCAAGTCACTTGGCAAAGATGATGTCTTCATCATTAAATCCCTAGTATGTAACACACAGAGGTTTAGTAAATGTTGAAAAAAACGCTAGGGAGTCCGCGTCGATCTAGAAAACTTCTTCAAGCTTAAGAACAAACTTGATACTCATAATACTGATATTGTCACAGCTTAATTGATAGAAACAAGTGCTTCTTGAAGGCAGGGTTCCAAAACACCATGACAGATTGTGCCCTTACTTAGTGGTACATTTTCTGGAGGTAGAAATTAACACCTAAAAGTTATAATTTATTTTTAATGTATTTGTAGTGTGAATTGAATGTTACTGAGGACGCTTTGAAAGCTATAGCCAGATTGGCACTAGAACGAAAAACAGGTGCACGAGGCCTTCGGTCCATAATGGTGAGTTGGCATTATTCTATAAAAACTAGATTATTTCTTGGTCTGAGTTTTGAGAACATTAAGCTGCTCTTTTTTTCTTTTGGAAAATATGTCTAGAAAATTGGCATAAAGTTGTTTTTTAGTTGTTGGGTTTTTTTTAAATGACAGAGTCTCAAATAAAGGAGTACAGTGGTGTGATCTTGGCTAACTGCGATTTCTACCTCCCAGGCTCAGGCTCAAGCGATCCTCCCACCTCAGTCTCCCAAGGAGCCGAGACTATAGGCAAGAATCACTACACTCAACTAATTTTTGTATTTTTAGTAGAGACAGGGTTTCACCATGTTGGCCAGGCTGGTCTCAAACTCCTGACCTCAGGTGATCTGCCCGCCTCAGCCTCCCAAAGTGCTGGGATTACAGGTGTGAGCCAGTACACCCAGCTGATTTTTTTTTTAAATCACACTAGATTATATTTTGCTTTTTTTCAAAAATGAACTTTAAGATGTTTGCAACCAAGGACATATACATAATATGGTTAATGAAACAGAAAATCAGGATCGGGCCTGGTAACTCACACCTATAATCCCAACCCTTTGGGTGGCTGAGATAGGAGGATTGCTTGAGACCAGCCTGGGCAACATAGAGAGACCCTCATCTCTCCAAAAAATAAATAAATAAATAAATAAATAAACAGGCTGGGTGCAGTGGCTCACACCCATAATCCTAGCACTTTTGGAGGCTGAGGCGGGTGGATCGCCTGAGCTCAGGAGTTCGAGACCAGCCTGGGCAACATGGCGAAACCCCATCTCTACTGAAAATACAAGAAACTAGCCAGACGTGGTGGCACGTGCCTGCAATCCCAAATATATATAAAGATATATATATATTTGTTGTTTGTTTTTCCCTGAGTGCATGGATTCCAGTTTGTGACTTATAGAATAAAAGCATTATATGTAATCTGTTTTCAGTGGGATTCATTACCTTTTATCTCTTTAGGAAAAGCTGTTACTAGAACCAATGTTTGAAGTCCCTAATTCTGATATCGTGTGTGTGGAGGTTGACAAAGAAGTCGTAGAAGGAAAAAAGGAACCAGGATACATCCGGTAAAGTGTATTTTCAAGCCAGAACAGATATAACATTTAAGATCCGCTCCTCATTGCTATGTTTGTTGGTTTGTCATTTTAAAATTACATAAAAATTCTTGTATTTGTAAGGGAAGCAATAATCTCAACTTTGCTTTAGAAAAATCTAATTTGGGTTTATAAAATAATATTATTTTGTGAGCCTTTGAAAGCTGATCTTCAGGCCGGGCGTGGTGGCTTACGGCTGTAATCCCAGCACTTTGGGAGACCAAGGTGGGCAGATCCCGTTTCCACTAAAAATACAAAAATTAGCTGGGTGTGGTGGCATGCACCTGTAGTCCCAGCTACTCAGGAGGCCGAGGCAAGATTCGCTTGAACCCAGGAGGTGGAGGTTGCAGTGAGCTGAGATAGCACCACTGTACTCCAGCCTAGCGACAGAGTGAAACTTAGTCTTAAAAAAAAAAAAAAAAAATTGATCTTCAAAATTGCTCTCCACCTTTTTCCTCTAAAAGGAAAATGTTTTAAAAGAGACATAAAAGTACTCCATCTATAATATCTGTTCCAGGAAGAAAAAAGAAAAAGAAAAGTAATCCAAATGAGATTAAAATGAACTTTGCTGCTAATTCTCTAAATTTATTAATGACTTGTCTTTCACAAGACCAAAACTGTCATAATTTTTTCTCTCAGTAGTAGTGTCATCAGTTGACAAATTCACCTTTTTTACCTATATATTTATCTTACTTGAAGGGGTCAGCAAATTGCCTCATAAAGGGTTAAATACTTTAGGGCCGTGAGGTCTGGTTTACAGCTACTCAACACTGCTCTCATTGCAAGAAAGCAGCTAGAAGACAGTACATACATAAATGATTGTGTCTGTGTTCCAGTAAGACTTGATTTGCAGTAACAGGCAATGGGGCTGGACATAGTGGGTCACGCCTGTAACCCTAACACTTTGGGAAGCTGAGGCTGGAGGATCCCTTCAGCCCAGGAATTCCAGACCAGCTTGAGCAACATAGGGAGATCTGTCTTTACAAAAATAAAAATAAAAATTTGTTTTCTTAATTAGGTATTCCAGCTACGTGGGTGCGTGAGATGGGAGGATCGCTTGAGCCTCAGAGGTTGTAGCTGCAGTGAGCTGTGATTGCACCACTGTACTGCAGCCTGGGTGACAGAGTGAGACCTTATCTCAAAAAAAAATCACAATTTTTAAAAAGGCAATGGACCGGGCATGGTGGCTCATGCCTGTAATCCCAGCACTTTGGGAAGCTGAGGAGGGTGGATCACCTGAGGTCAGGAATTTGAGACCAGCCTGGCCAATATGTTGAAACCCCACCTGTACTAACAGTACAAAAATTAGCCAGGTATGCTGGCAGACGCCCATTGTCCCAGCTACTTGGGAGGCTGAGGCAGAAGAATCACTTGAACCTGGGAGGAGGAGGTTGCAGTGAGCCAAGATCGTGCCACTGCACTCCAGCCTGGGTGACAGAGAGACTCGGTCTCAAAAAAAAATTAAAAATAAAAAAATAAAAAGGCACTGGGCTGGATTTGGCTAGCAAGCTACAGTTTCCTAACCCCTGATTTATTATATAAATAATTTATTATACAATGCTTGACATTAATGTCACCTACACAAAAGTTAGGTTTCTGTTTAACTCTGGTATGTTATATTTTATGTTTACTTCTCTTTCAAGATAACTTTGGAGGCAGTTGCTTGGGTTCGAACAACTTAGACCAGAGAGAGACATAATCTTTTATTTTTATTGTTGAATGACATTGATATGTGGCTTTTAAAGGAATTCTGGTGATCTGAATTATAATTTTTACTAATTCGAGACAAGATGGATTTGGTCAGAAGTAGTTACCTTCTTTACCATATATATATGCTAAATTCAAGCATTTGAGTTGAAATAACAGATGATGCTGGGCGCGGTGGCTCACGCCTGTAATCCCAGCACTTTGGGAGGCCGAGGCGGGTGGATCACGAGGTCAAGAGACCGAGACCATCCTGGTCAACATGGTGAAACCCCGTCTCTACTGAAAATACAAAAAATTAGCTGGGCATGGTGGTGCGTGCCTGTAATCCCAGCTACTCAGGAGGCTGAGGCAGGAGAATTGCCTGAACCCAGGAGGCGGAGGTTGCGGTGAGCCGAGATCGCGCCATTGCACTCCAGCCTGGGTAACAGGAGCGAAACTCCGTCCCAAAAAAAAAAAAAAAACAGATGATAATTTATTTCTTGGAGAAAAGATTTTTTAAGCCTTCACAATTGAAGCCATGTTGTCCCTTTTTTTTGGAATTTGTCAGGGAAAATGTTGGGAAATTTATTTGCAACTTTTGGTTGTATAGTCTGTTTCCCATATTACTAAGCAATTTTTTTTTCTTTTGAGACAGAGTCTGTCTCTGTCGCCCGGGCTGGAGTACAGTGGTATGATCTCAGCTCACTGCAACCTCCACCTCCCTGGTTCAAGTGATTCTCCTGCCTTAGCTTCTTGAGGAGCTGGGATTACAGGCGTGCGTCACCACACCTGGCCAATTTTTGTGTATTTAGTAGAGATGGGGCTTTACTATAGGTTAGCCAGGCAGGTCTTGAAACCCTGACCTCAGGTGATCTGCTCTCCTTGACCTCCGAAAGTGCTGAGGTCGCAGGTGTGAGCCATGGCACAATATTAAAATTGCTCCAGCCAGGCACGGTGGCTCACACCTGTAATCCCAGCACTTTGGGAGCCTGAGGCAGGCAGATCACGAGGTCAAGAGATTGAGACCATCCTAGCCAACATGGTGAAACTCTGTCTTTACTAAAAATACAAAAAATTAGCCGGGTGTGGTAGCGCACACCTATAGTCCCAGCTACTTGGGAGGCTTGAGGCAGGAGAATCACTTTAACCCGGGAGGTAGTGGTTGCAGTGAGCTGAGATCGTGCCACTGCACTCTATCCAGAGCGAGACTCTGTCTCAAAAAAAAAAAAAAAAAAAGTGCTCCTAATATTTTCTATTATTGTGGCTTTCTTAGCTAGGGGGGTTACTTTGCTGTTTTGATTTTAAAGATCATGTTTACCTGCGTTTATAATTTTAAAAAAACATGACTTTTCATTGTAGGGCACCAACGAAAGAGTCCTCTGAAGAGGAGTATGACTCTGGAGTTGAAGAAGAAGGATGGCCCCGCCAAGCAGATGCTGCAAACAGCTAAACTGTAATACTGCTGTCCTGTATATACAGCTTTTCCTTCTTTTGTTTAGGATCATAACTGTCTCTGCAGTCTGATATTAAAGGCATTGGATCTATCTTGGATATCATACATGGTCAGAGAAGCCTTTAGGAAAAGAATCAGATCATGTATATTATTGTAACATCACATTGATTTAACAGAGGACGTTATATGGACTTTAATGACACGGTATTTAGAGATAAAATGTACATTATTTTGGTTCAGTTTTTAAAAAATATGCTTTAACAAAATTCTTAGGAATTCTTTTAGGCAGTGAAGGTATTGCAAAACTGGATTTTACAATAATGTTACTCTACAAATGGGAAAATAAATTCTTTAAAATTGAATATTGAGATACCATTCTTTAGTGTTACCTTTTTTACTCACATGTACTTCTGAAAATATTGGAATTTTATTCATCTTAAAAATTGGACCAGGTAGTTTTCAAGTAGTTAAAAATTACATTGAAAAATACCCTGAAGAACTATATTTTGATAATTGATAATTGGTTTAGCTGTATTACTTGTCTTCTTATCTGCTAATGCATGACACTAACCTCAAATGGTTCTGTAAAAAAGACTATTTTCTTACCAACTTGTCTGATAATTACCATCTTTTTTAAAGATGGAGTCTCGCTGTGTCCCAGGTTGGAGTACAGTGGCTTGATCTCTGCTCACTGCAACCTCCACCTCCCGGGTTCAAATGATGCTTCTGCCTCAGCCTTCGGAGTAGCTGGGATTATAGGCATGCACTACCCCGCCCGGCTAATTTTCGTATTTTTAGTAGAGGCAGGGTTTCACCTTGTTGGCCAGACAGGTCCCAAACTCCTGACCTTGAGATCCGTCAGGCTCGGCCTCCTAAAGTGCTGGGATTTCAGGCGTAAACCACTGCACCTGGCCTTATTTACTATCTTTAATACATTTTAGTACTATGGGCGAGTACACAGAATTGAAGTCTGCCTTAAATCTTCAGAAAGATACATACCTATTTTATTTTATTTCTTTGAGACAGAGTCTTGCCCTGTCACCCAGGCTGTAGTGCAGTGGCACAATCTCGGCTCACTGCAACCTTTGCCTCCCGGGTTCAAGCAGTTCTCATGCCTCAGCCTCCTAAGTAGCAGGACTACAGGTGCGTACCACTACATCTGGCTAATTTTTTGTATCTGTAGTACAGATGGAGTTTCGCCATGTTGCCCAGGCTGGTCTTGTAACTCCTGAGCTCAGGCAATGCAGCCACCTTGGCCTCCGAAAGTGCTAGGATTACAGGCATGAGCCACCACATCCAGCCAGGAAGATACATATCTAATTCTATAAGTAGCATGCAGTATCAATCATAGTAACAGCCATGTGCTGACCTAAATAAAATTTCCTGATACTGTGTACTTAACCTGAAGTACTGAACTAGTTTTTTTGTTTGTTTGTTTTGCTTTTTGGTGCTGAACATTGGTCTAATTCTTTGGCTTCTTAGAATGTTAAAGAAAATGTCTGTTTTGCTATCAGCTAAAGTAATGTGTTCACACTAACATATAAGTTAATAACCTTCATTATACCACAAAGCTAAAAAGTGGTGGGATATTTGGGGTCTTAATGAAAATGGTATCATTTCCATAAATACTAAAATGTGGGTACCTTTTTTTTTCTTTCCTTCTATAATGGTGATACAAGTTATATATTCATTCAGTTTAATCTCATTTGAAATTGTTTAAATCAGAGTACATGTAAATATTCTTCTTTTTTGTTTATAGACTCTTGTACTTTCCTTTTACACAGTTTTTCTTAGGGAAAAACTTAAGCTATTAGGAAATTCTAAATCTTGTGGATGAAGAGTTGGGCTTTCTATGATAGAATTAATAAAAGGGATATAAGGTATTTATGGCTGGGGTAGGATCAGAAATGCACTTTGTATTATAGTGAGTTAAGGCTGGTTGCTATAGTATGGAACAGAAACACCTGTCCTCCTTGGTCTCCCTAGTAATGGTTTGAGTTCTCCCCAGGAAGTCTTACATATTATAAGTTTGTTCATGACCTTTCCCTTATAGCATCATTTTCCTTTTTGTAGAGTGGAAATCAGAGTAGCTGCTAAACATATTCAGAGTAATCTTCCAGAAATGGACTGGGAGGCATTTTAGTCACAACAACTTACATTAGGCTTTGGAAGTTGTTAACAAAGCATAATCGATGTTTTTAAATCAAACACAATTTGTATCTTGGAACTTACATTTTGACATTTGAATAAAACAAAAAGACTAAATGAAAAAAAAATAAGTGCGTTATATGAGATTTTAACATAGGGAAATGAAAGAAAGTTGAAGAATGTACAAAAATATGTGTACTCTCTTTGAAACTTTTAGGTAAATATCACTTGTTTCTAAAATAAAAAGTTAAATTTAAAAGGTCTGATCTAGGTCATTTTTAGGAGGAATAAGGTGATGACTAAAGTTCAAATAAATAATAAGATTCTGAAAGTAGAGGAAGGTAGGACATCCTTTAGAGTAAGTTTTTGAGTTATTCTCAAATGTTATTAGCCCTTAAGTATTTCTTTGTCTTCTTAAAGGTCCCATGTTGTTAATTTACTAAAACAGACAAAACATCTGTAGTGATACCAAATACAAAATATTATGCCTGAGTCTAACACTGGCTTGTAACAAATGTTCTTCAATCACCTTATATCGACATCATTTTGGTAAGTCATTCAGGAAATACGTATGGAGCACTTGCTGTATCCCATGTATTATACTGAGCATTGGAGATGCCAAGCTGTAAAATAATTCTTGGAGAGCTAGCTGCAGTGAAGAGAATGAAGATGACCCATAATGAACTCTATTCCAGTGATCCTGTTCTTAGGAGCATGCAGGAACACTCCCTGAAGTAAGCTATGTTTTAACCTAATTAAAACAAATTGAATATTTCATTTCACTATGTAGTTTACAAAATGTCTCATGTAGTTTTTCTCATCCAGGTCTCACCACAGGCTAGTACAGCTAGATGGGGCAGCTTTTTCATTCCCATATTACTGATGAGAGTTACTCCCAATTATACCAGAGGCCTGAAGAGTTTTAATTTATGTCCTCTGGACTCCTGCTTTTGTCATCTTTCTACTACTTTATACCTCCCTAGATAAGGGTCTTGTCCGACTGATTCCATAAATATTCCATTATTTTGTAATAGTAAAGCTAATATCCAATGTAATCATTTTTCTTTGACTTTTACTCAGTTCTTACTTATTTCTCAATATATGGTAAATAATAGTAGTTATTCTCATTTTAAGCCAAATATCCTTTCTCAGAAGATTTGCTTTTGAAAATAAGTGTTTTTCCTAGAGTCCTGTAAGTAAATCAAGCACATTTTGGTGTTTAATTTTCAAGCCATTTATTACCATTTAGTATACTGAAGAAGCTTACTCATGAAATATATTCTGTATAATCGTGCTTCACACAATGTATATTTTGGACTTTTTATGTGCCATGTATTATGCTGAGTCTTGGGGCTCATGGTTTAATGTAGGTAGCAAGATAGATAATTATAATATGGTATCAAAATTATTATATATGTATGTCCAGGACTTTATGAGAAAACTTTTGAGGAACTCCCTAAGTAGAGAGTTAGAAGGAAGCATTTTAAGCTGAGTTAAAAGTAAATACAAAGGTTTGGAGTTGAGGACATAGCAGTTCAAAAAATTGGAAATAATTTAGAAACCCTAGGTACAGAGAGAGTTGAGAGTTATGGCACTGGACAGAGATGAGATTACAGATAGTGGCTTTGCATATCAGGCTAAGGATCAGAAGTTTTATGCTGAAAATAAGGGGCCATTGAGGGATTTTAAGCAAAAATGATGTGATCAGGTTTACATTTTATGAGGATTGCTGTAGCTGCTGTGTAGAGAATAGATAAGAGCAGAGAAAACTTTAGACAGGAATAAATAAGACCAAAACAATAACCAAGAACAAACTGGTAAGAACTTGTTTGACCAGGTAGTTAAAGCCGGTCTTGAGAAAAGTGGATGGACATAAGAGTTATCAAGATGGCCAATAAGATTTAGTGGACAATTGGATGTAAGTGGAGTGGAGGTGGTAATGGAGCAAAATATGTTAAGGAGGCCTTTCAGATTGCTGGCTTTAATAACTGAGGGGGGCGGCTTTTCATTGAAAGGAGAAACCAGATTGTCAAGAGGTCAGATTGTGAGGTGTTTGGGGAAGGCTGAAGGGGAGAAGATAAGGTGTTCATTTTGGGACACATTAAGGTAGAGCTGTCTGTGTATGTATGGACAGTCTAAACACTGGTAAAATGTCTGTGGTAGTAATAGTTGGGAGTTATTTGCCATAATAATATTAGGTTTTCTGAAAACTATGTGTACTCTGAAGTTAACAGCTCAGGTTTTAGAGAGAGACCCAGGCCAGAGTTTGCAAAATAGATTTACTTCTAACTGTTTAATTATCAAAGCCTCAGCTTTCCCATCTATTAATGTCTGTCATGTATGACTTTTGCAAGAACAGATTTTAAAATGTGTAAAATAACAAGCATGATGCTTAACATATAAAAGGAATATAGTAATTGTACATTATCATTATCTTTTAAAGATGCCCAAAGCAACTGTTAATGATGGTTAATTTTATTGCTTAAAATGTTTAAAATGTTAGCAATGATTAATTTTATATGTCAACTTGACAGGGCTAAAGCGTGCCAAGATAGATGGTAAATATTATTTTGGCGTGTATCTGTGGGGGTGTTTCTAAAAGAGATTAGCATTTCAATCAATAGATTGAGAAAAGATTACCCTCACAATGTGGGCAGTTATCATCCAAACCTTTTGACATCCTAAATAGAACAAAAAGGTAAGAAAAGGTTAATTCACTCTCTCTGTTTCAGCAGAAACATCCTTCCTTTCCTGCCCTAAGACATCTATGCTTCTGGTTCTTTGGCGTTTGAAGTCAGATCAGGACTTATACACCTGGTCCCTCTTGGTTATCAGGTCATTGAATTTGGACTGAATTATGCTACCAACTTTCCAGGTTCCTCAGCTTGCAGATGGCAGATTATGGGATTTCTCAGACTTTATAACAATGGGAATCAATGCCTATAAAAAGTCTCCTTATATATCCTATTGGTTCTATTCCTTAGAAGAGCTCTAACCAATACTAATATATTCTTTTATAAAGGATTTTTAAAATAATTGAAATAAGTGCCTCCGAATTCAATTGTTTTATTATTTAATTATTTGACATATTTAAATATAAATATACACAACAATATGATTTGTCAAGGTTTTTTAGAAAATAGATTACCCTGCTTTCTGGTTCAGTACATATAAAAATTACTCTTGAAATTAAATATACAAATTTAAAACTCAATTCTATCG